AGGGGAAGCTCGAAAGGGAAAGCCCAAAAAAGACAATATCTACTAGCGGTGGATCTGGGTCGTTACAAGTATTATGAAGTTAAGGTCCCCTAATCTAAGTTGTATAGAGAAGCACCCTTAAATAATAATAATAATAATAATAATTAAAAAAAAAAAAATCTCATGAAACAATCATCACAATTAGGTCCCACTAGTAACGAATGTTTTAAGTATAAAATTACTATACATCAAACTTTACTAAAAAAGATCCGATCGCTTCACCATCTCGGAGGAACAAATATGGACAAAGGCGACGAATTTCAATCCCTCACAATTCTGATCACAGGGGGTGGGCAGAGGGTTAGGGCGAGCTTTAGCGCTATCATTGGCAAAGCGGGGCCACACTGTCATTGGCTGCGCTCGTTCTCCCAACGCCCTCCACTCTCTTCAAAAGGAACTCGCCGCACTCTCCCCTTCCTCTTCTCACACCCACTTACTCCGAATCACCGACGTGGTTGGTTTCCTTTTCCTTTTCATTTGTTTTCATAAACCCACGTTTTATTTCACCTTCAAAATTGTACTCTTTTTGTAGGCCTCAAATAGTAGCGTCGAGGAGCTATTTAAGGCTGTCTTGGAAAGAGATCTGGTTCCTGATATCCTTGGTATTCCATGTTCTTCTTTTTCAAAGGGACTTTGATACTTCATTCCCATTTTTAAGTAAAAATCTGTTCTCGTTTCAGTAAACAACGCCGGTGTGATTAATGGAAAGTCCAAGTTTTGGGAGATTCCTGAAGATGGGTTTGATTGTGTGATTGATACGAATGTAAAAGGGACAGCAAACGTTCTTCGTCATTTCATTCCTCTTATGATCCAAGGAGGAAAAGGAATTATTGTCAACTTCTCTTCAATGTGGGGAAGAAATGGTGCTTCCATGGTAGGTACCCAAAATTTTGAACTTTTTGAGAAGTATAAAATGGGTTTAAAGCCAAGTTTATGCTCTTGTAAGTAGTTTTGTGAGCTAATAAATTTGAGCCGGTAGAACAAGTTATTAACTCATATAAGAGAATAACTTTAGGAGAATTATTAATAGACTTAGTAGAATAAGTTAGACTTATACCATAATTTCAAGAGAATTGTTAGTAGAATTAGTATAATAAATTACTAACTTATACGTAACTTTGAGAAAATTGTTAGTAGACTTAGTAGAAGAAGTTACTCTTTGTTAGTAGACTTAGTAGAAGGAGTTACTAACTTATACACTAACTTTAGGAGAATTGTTAGTAGAATGAGTAGAAGGAGTTACTAACTTATAGAGCAACTTTAGGAAAATTGTCAGTAGACTTAGTAGAATAAGTTACTCACGTATGGAGTAACCTTAGTAGAATTGTCGTAGACTTAGTAAAAGAAGTTACTAACTTATACCGTAACTTTAGGAGAATTGTTAGTAGAAGAAGTTACTCACGTATGGAGTAACCTTAGTAGAATTGTCAGGAGACTTAGTAGAAGGAGTTACTAACTTATAACTTTAGGAGAATTGTTAGTAGGCTTAGTAGGAGGAGTTACTAACTCATAGAGTAACTTTAGGAGAATCGTTAGTAGACTTAGTAGAACAAGTTACTCACTTATGGAGTAACTTAGTAGAATTGTCATTTGACTTAGTAGAATAAGTTACTAACTTATGGAGCAACTACAGTCGAATAATTACCAAATTGTGGACCAAGTTTTGTTTTTAATTAGGAAGATTGTTACTGGTTAAGTTTTGTGCTTTAATTAGGGAAATTGGTACGGGTTCTTAACTTGAGGAAGCTAGTTATTGCTTTCTTTGCCCTAAATATTTATGAGATGTATGCTTTCTTTATCACAATAACAACGAGAATTAAAAAGCCAATTGCTTAAGGTTTCTTTGTTCCAAAAGCTCGCTCCCCTCAAGTTCTCTTCCTGCTTCTTTTATTTGCTTCGACATATTTTGATCGTGGGCCATATCCTACAGTTTTCTCCATATAGTGCCTCTAACTGGGCAATTGAGGGCTTGACCAAATCCATAGCTTTGGAGCTGCCTAAAGGAATGGCTATTATAGCACTTGATCCTGGCATTGTGAACACAGACATGCTTGCCTTTTGCTTTGGCGATTCAGCAGCTGACTACCAAAATCCTGAAGAATGGTAACATATCAGTTCTTCACTCCTTGTTCTTGAAAAATTATTGTGTTCTATGTCTAAGTGCTTAGATGTTGATGAATGTATCAGGGTAGTAAAGGCGAGCACAATGATCCTTAGTTTTACATCTGAAGATAATGGAGCGTCTCTCACAGTTGAATGAGGTAAACTATAGCATGTGTTACGACTCGAAATTTTCTACTTAGTTTAAGGTCGCCACTATATACATATCATGAACATTGAATGCGGAAATACTTCATTTAAACTTTCATAAAAGATTACCTTCATCTTAAAATACAGCCATGAACTCATGTACTTTGAAAATATCTTTAAAAACGACACAACAAAAGACTTAAATTAAAAACATCATATTCTAGCCTAAGTCTAAAAAAATAAATACAACTACTCAATGTCGTCGTCAGCCGTACAAGAAAGTCTTGCCTTAACCTGAAATAGAGGTAGCACGTGACTTGAGTATTTAAAAAAATACTCATTAAGTGATCCCACTATTAAGGTTAAATGTAAGAACACTGGACCTATCAACATAGATTATAACATGGAATATAGTTTAGAAGATAGATTTAAAAGTGATGGTGGATTGTTTTTTTCAAGTGCAGGTGGAGCTTGAGTGATGAGGAAGAATGTGCATAAATAAAGATTTCTTAAACAACATTATTGCCAAATTTTATAGATTATATTTCTAAATGGTATTCGATTATGATTGTTACGTTAATATGATTATGTTTGTGCCATGTGAGACACCATCACATACCATGTATTAAAAACATGAATGAAATACATAAGAAATTTATGTCATGATAAGTATGAAAGTAGTATTATGTGTATCATCTCATTGAACTACATTTTTAATATGGGACCTCATACATGTAGTATGTAATGTGATTATGAATTACTTCTCCAACAAATTATTATACGTTCCTTTCCTTTCCATTAGTTTCGACATTGTGAGCATGCTAGCCCATCATTAGGCCTAGGGGTACATTAAGGAGTCTATCTAGTTGGTTCATGTACACATGCTTGATCCGTGTGTAGAGAAGTACTATGTGTCTTGGTCGTGATTTTCGACCGTGCAACATTATGATCTTGACATGCTCATGACAAGCCTTAAGGAGAATTTATGCCCCATTCACATTCTTTGACCGTCTTTGTGGCTTCGAGAACCTCTCCTTTGCCAACCTAACACAACTCGTGCAGAATCCAAGCTTGTTTGGCCATAGAGGCCATCTGTGCGTGCATGTTTAATCGTTTGTGACTCTAGTCGACTTGCCTTTACATTAGGCCAAGACATACGGCTCGACCTTGCCTCTACTCTAAGCCAATATCTCTCATGTGCAACTTCGCATCTCAATCATCATCTTGGTTCCCTATAACATGACCCATGCATTGTGATGTCATCCCATATCTCGGGACAACTCGACCCTCTTGGCTTGCTCAAACATGTTTATAGAACTAACCCATGTGTCGTTCATCTCATTGGGATATCTCGAACATCCATCCATTCTGGTTCTCATAGGGACTTGAACCCTTCCGTATCCATGTCATGTCATTTACGGACTCTGTACCAAATAGTGAGTGCATATACTAAACTCTCACACATGAGTTGGAGTGCAATGTCGGCACACCCGTGATGTTTGACACTGTACTTAAAAGACTCATTTCTAAGGAAGACGCCTGAGACGCTTGTCTCGCAATGCCCACCCACACTGTGATACATGCATGTGCCACATGGCCTAAGGGTGGTAGAGAACTAACACCATGCCTCTCCTATAGTACATTTTGAGGCATTCCTATTCTTTTTGAAGTAGACATGATTTTGGTTAGCGGTCATACAAGCCTGTGAAGCGTCCAGAGTAAGACTTCATTGATGTAAGACTTCATTTATACCACAATGGATTCAAGCTACTCCAAAGTAAGACTTCATGTGCTCTCATGTAGTTAAAAATTTTGAGTGGATAATTTAAATCTAGATTTATGGTGTTTCATTAATGTATTTTCGATTTTAAGACATTATATATTACCTTTACATAGTAGTTACAACTTTTGAAATGCCTTATAGAAAGTCAATAGTTTAATTTTGAGACTATATAAAATGAAAAGAGCATGTGTTTGCGATTCTATATAGTTTAAGTTTCATGTCTAGAATCATCCAAACATGTAATAACCCAAGTTAACTACTAGCAAATATTGTCTTTTTTGGACTTTCCCTTCAAAGAGGTTTCCACGCCCTTACAATGAATGTTTATTTCCCATCTCCAACCGATGTGGGATCTCACAATCCACTCCTCTTTGGTGCCCAACGTCTTCGTTGACACACCTAGTGAGTTCATGTGCACGTGCGTGAACCGTGTGTAAAAGAGTATCATGAAGTTTAGATCCCACCAGTCATGAGCCGTGTGTAAAGAAGTACCTAAAAAAAATAAAAAATAAAATAAAGCTCATGGAATAGTCATGAAAATTAGGTCTTACCTGTCATGAATCATGTGTAGAGAAACATTATGATCCAACCCTATCCCATAGTCAAGCCTAGGGGTTCATTAATAAACCTACCTAGTGGGTTCATATGCTCATGCGTGAACCATGTGTAAAAAAGTATTATGAAGTTTTGTCCCACCAATCATAAGGCGTGTGTATAGAAGTACAAAAGTAAAGCTCATGAAACAGTCATGAAAGTTAGGTCTCCACAAATCATGAAGTTTATGTCCTACTTGTCATGAGCAGAGAAATAAATAATGTCCCACGAATCAGGATACATTGTTTCACTTTGACTTCCATGATACAACAGTGTCTGTCTACGTGGTCATAACACAGCCTCTAACCCCAACATCTCACAACCTTATCAATAACAACAAAACACCTCCAAATCTCATCTTTTCAGATAAAAAAAATCGGATCGCTTCACCATCTCGGAGGAACAAATATGGACAAAGGCGACGAATTTCAACCCCTCACAATTCTGATCACAGGAGTGAGCAGAGGGTTAGGGCGAGCCTTAGCGCTATCATTGGCAAAGCGCGGCCACACTATCATTGGCTGCTCTCGTACTCCCAACGCTCTCCACTCTCTTCAAAAGGAACTCGCCGCCATCTCCCCTTCCTCTTCTCACACCCACTTACTCCAAATCACCGACGTGGTTGGTTTCCTTTTCCTTTTCATTTGTTTCCATAAACCCACGTTTTATTTCACCTTCAAAATTGTACTCTTTTTGTAGGCCTCAAATAGTAGCGTTGAGGAGCTATTTAAGGCTGTCTTGGAAAGAGATCTGGTTCCTGATATCCTTGGTATTCCATGTTCTTCTTTTTCAAAGGGACTTTGATACTTCATTCCCATATTTAAGTACAAATCTATTCTTGTTTCAGTAAACAACGCAGCTGTGATTAATGAAAACTCCAAGTTTTGGGAGATTCCTGAAGATGTGTTTGATTCTGTGATTGATACGAATGTAAAAGGGACAGCCAATGTTCTTCGGCATTTCATTCCTCTGATGACCCAAGGAGGAAAAGGAATTATTGTTAACTTCTCTTCGATGTGGGGAAGAAAGGGTGCTCCCATGGTAGGTACCCAAAATTTGTAGCTTTTTGAGAAGTATAAAATGGGTTTGAAGTTAATAAATTTGAGCTATTAGAACAAGTTACTAAGAATTATTATTTGACTTAAAGTTTCTAACTTATAACTTTAGTACAATTATTAGTATACTTAGTAAAACAAGTTATAACTGAGAATTATTAAGAACAAGTTACTAAAACAAGTAACTCCCTTTTATATAGTAACTTTTAAGAGAATTGTTAGTAGACTGTGTAGACCAAGTTACTAATTTATAACGTAACTTTAGGAGAATTGTTAGTAGACTTAGGAGAATAAGTTTAGGAGAATTGTTCGTAGACTTAGTAGAACAAGTTACTAACTTATACAGTAAATTTAGGAGAATTATTGGTAGACTTAGTAGAACACGTTACTAACTTATATAGTAACTTTTAAGAAAATTGTTAGTAGACTTAGTAGAACAAGTTACTAACGTATAAAGTAACTTTAGCAAAATTGTTCGTAGACTTGGTAGAACAAGTTACTAACTTATACAGTAAATTTAGGAGAACTATTGGTAGACTTAGTAGAACACGTTACTAACTTATATAGTAGCTTTTAAGAGAATTGTTAGTAGACTTAGTAGAGCAAGTTACTAACTCATAAAGTAAATTTAGGAGAATTGTTAGTAGACTTAATAGGATAAGTTACTAACTCATAAAGTAAATTTAGGAGAATTATTAATAGACTTACTAGAACAAGTTACTAATTCATAAGTAACTTTTGGAGAATTCTTAGTAGATTTAGTAGAACAAGTTATTAACTTATAAAGTAACATTAGGAGAATTTTTAGTAGACTTAGTAGAACAAATTACTAACTTAGGGAGTAACCTTGCAAGAATTGTCAATAGATTTAGTACAATAAGTTATTAACTTAGGGAGCAACTATAGGAGAATTGGTAGTAGTTGAATGTTTGTGGCAAGTTTTGTGCTTCAATTAGGAAGATCGTTACTGGTTCTTAACTTGAGGAGAAAGTTTAGTAAGCTAGTTACTGCCTTCACCGCTGTAATGAGGTGTATGCTCTTTTTATCACAACAAAGAGAATTAAAAAGCTAAGTGCTTAAGGTTTCTTTGTTCCAAAAGCTCACTTCTCTTAAGTTGTTCTTCGTGCTTTTTTTATTTGCTTTGACATATTTTGATCATGAGCCATATCCAACAGTTTTCTCCGTATTGTGCCTCTAAATGGGCAATTGAGGGCTTGACCAAATCCATAGCTTTGGAGCTGCCTAAAGGAATGGCTATTATAGCACTTGATCCTGGTGTTGTGAACACAGACATGCTTGCTATTAGCTTTGGCGATTCAGCACCTGACTACCAAAATCCTCAACAATGGTAACATATCAATTCTTCACTACTTCTTGTTCTTGTTCTTGAAAAATTATTGTGGTCTATGTCTAAGTGCTTAGATGTTGATGAATGTATCAGGGTAGTAAAGGCGAGCACAATGATCCTTAGTTTTACGTCTGAAGATAATGGAGCGTCTCTCACTGTTGAATGAGGTAAATTATAGCATGTGTAACGACCTAATTTTTTTTACTTAATTTAAGGTCGTAACTGTATACATATCATGAACGTTGAATGCGGAAATACTTCATTTAAACTTTTCTAAAAGATCACCTTTATCTTAAAACATAATCATGGACTTACGTGTTTTGCAAATACCTCTAAAAACGACACAACAAAAGACTAAATAAAATAATTAAACGTTTAAATTAAAAACATTCTATTCTAGCTAAGTCTAAGAAAATAAATACATCTACTCTATGCATGTGCCATGGTCTTGAGTTATGATGGCGTCATCCGCCATACATGAATGTCTTGCCTTAACTTGAAATAGAGATAGCACGTGACCTGAGTATTTAAAGAAATACTTAGTAAGTGACCCTACTATTAGGAGTTAAATGCAAAAACATGCTAATGCAATGACAGAACTGATACATGATAAGTAGATACGTAGCATGGAATATTGGAAGATAGATTTAGAAGTGATGGTGGATTGTTTTCTTCAAAGTGCAGGTGGAGCTTATGAACTTCTGTTTTGAGGAAGAATGTGCAGAAATAAAGAATTTCTTAAAGAACATTATTGCCAAATTTTATAGATTATATTTGATTAGGATTGCTATGTTAATATGATTATGTTTGTTGTGAGACACCATCATGTACGAGGTATTAAAAATATGAATAAAATACCATGAATATATATGTACGTCTCATAAGAAATTTATGTCATGATAAGTATGAAAGTAGTATTATGTGTATCATCTCATTGAACTACATTTTTAATATGGGACCTCATACATGTAGTATGTAATGTGATTATGAATTACTTCTCCAACAAATTATTATACGTTCTTTTCCTTTCCATTAGTTTCGACATTGTGATCATGCTAGCCCATCATTAGGCCTAGGGAGTACGTTAAGGAGTCTATCTAGTTGGTTCATGTTCACATACTTGATCCGTGTGTAGAGAAGTACTAAGTGTCATGGTTGTATATTTTCAACCGTGCAACATTATGATGTTGACATGCTCATGACAAGCCTTAAGGAGAACTTATGCCTCATTCACATTCTTCGACCTTCTTTGTGGCTTCGTTGAACCTTAGGCAAGGTTCTCTTTTGCCAACCAAACACAACTCGTGCAGAATCCAAGCTTCTTAGGCTACACATACCATCTGTGCGAGCATGTTCAATCGTTTATGACTCTAGTTGACTTGCCCTTACACTAGGCTAAGTCATTCGGCTCAACCTTGCCTCTACTCTAAGCCAATATCTCTCGTGTGCAACGTCATCTCAGTCATCATCTTGGTTCCCAACAACATGACCCATGCATTGTGATGTCATCCCATATCTCGGGACAACTCGACCCTCTTGCCTTGCTCAAACATGTTTACAGAACTAAGCCATGTGTCGTTCATCTCATTGGGATATCTTAAACATCCATCCATTCTGGTTCTCATCACCCTCCCGTATCCATGTCATGTCATTTACGGACTCTGTACCAAATAGTGAGTGCATATACTAACCTCCAACACATGAGCTGGAGTGCAATGTCGGCACACCCGTGATGTTTGACACTGTACTTGAAAGACTCATTTCTAAGGAAGATGCCTGCGACGCTTGTCTCACAATGCTCACCTATATTGTGACACACGCATGTGCCACATGGCCTAAGGGTGGTGGAGAACTGACACCATGCCTCCCCTATAGTACATTTGGAGGCATTCCTAATTTTTTTTTGAAGTAGACGTGATTTGGTAAGCAACCAACTTGTAGGCTCTTGTCGGACTTAATCCTATTCTCGGAACCTTAGGCTATGTACTCGGAGCTGTCTCTAACAAAATCTACTGCGGTCTCTAGAGAGACCCTAATGGATTCTCATTGACTTGGATTTTCCATACCTATCTACCTACTGAGCACAAAATCAGAAGATTTCCCCTAGTGGTGCCTGACATCAACTACCTGTTCCTGAGAATCAGTAACTACCTATCACTACGCCTCGTCGGGCTGGGTCAGTAAACTACCTGTCTTACACCCTTATCGAGTTTAAATCTTTAAAGGTCATGACTCTCTCCACTAAGCACCCCTGACGTGGTACAATAGTAGTATACTCACTATGGTCACCCATATCCACTGTAGGGGACAACTAAAAGTCAGTAACTCATAATCTATGAAATTCATAATTCACGCTATCTAGCACATAGCAAATGGTCCAACTCACAGATGGGCAATAATGGACTATCCAAACCCCAAATCAATGCAGAACAAAGTATCAAGGCACACCTCATACTCATCATGCAAATCAAGAAATAACAATCTACCTCGACATCCTAGGAAGCACATAAACCCAAACGCCTATCAGAGAATTTCACATTTATGTATGCGGAAGCTATATAATCCTAACTAGAATTAATGTTTAATCATACACGTTATCGAAGCACAGCACACATGAAACTAATGTTAACCAACTCCTAAGTATGATACTAGATTGTTGTCCATACTCCAACCGACTCCTACCGACATTTCTTAGAAACTTGCTCCATGCGATTACTTACTTGTTGTAGACTTCCCGAGTTTGTTTCGGGTCTTCAAGAATTTTCAATTCCTTTGAAATCCTCAATTAGGTCTTACATTAAGAAAAGATATCACAACCATAGAAATTTGAGGTGGAAATCAAGTCCAAATGGTGCAATTTGCGAGAATTGGGTCTCTAGATCTTGGGTCACGCTTACCTTCAAATCGAGTTTGGGTAGTGGGTCGGAGTCAACTAAATGGGTCGGGTCGGGCCAATTTTGCTTTCGGGTGACTAGGCGGGTAGGGTCGGTGCGGGTTGGCAGGTCGGTTCGGTCCAACGAGTCAGTTTGGTCCAACGGTTGGTCAATCCAGCAGGTCAGCTCCTTCCTCCTCGCGACTCTCCTCCTCTTCTTCGTCACTTGTCAACGTTTCTTCTTCCCTCTTCTTCGACCCTTACCCATCTGATTTTGTTTATGAGCAATTGTCGTTCCCTGCAAGCTTATGGCCTCGCGTTTCTACCCGACGTGCACCGTGGTGGCGATGATGGATTCTTAACTGTTGAGATATAATATTTGGAGAAGATATTATTTATGAAATATATATTAGATATTATATCTTAATATTCTTTCCTTTATGATTTGATTTGTAGTGCATTTTATTTTATTCTCCGTATTTAATTAGTTTATATTTTCCTTATTAGTAGGTATTAGTTGCTAGCTTGTATCCTGTTTAAAGTTGATGAATATCAATGAGAATACACACATTCGATTCCAATTTTATTTCTACTTCTCATTCTTAGCATTAACGTTGCTCTTCGTTGGTAATTTCTTGTCTGGACTCCAATAAAACACTTGACTTTTACCTCCCTTCGTTCGAACCCCATCCCTGAATTAAACATCTTGGTCTCTCACCAACGGAAATTAAGAGGACATTGGAGTAGGTGGTCAGCCTCCTTTCTATTCCTTTGTCATTATGTTTATTATTATTATTATTATTATTACTATTTTCTTTTCTCTTTTCCTAAAATGTTGGTACAACTCACTTTTTCCTCCTTTGTTGACCGCTATAGGAGTTATTACAATCTGAGCATAGCGGAGTTATTACAATCTGAGCATAGCGGAGTTATTACAATCTGAGCTTATGCTAGCTCATAAGTAGGTCTAGGGGTACATTAATAAACTCACCTAGTGAGTTCATGTATACATGCGTGAACGGTATAAAAGAGTATCATGAAGTTTAGGTCCCCTAGTCATAAGTGTGCGTAGAGAAGTACCCTACAAAAAAAAAAAAAAAAAAAAAAAAAAAAAAAAAAAAAAAAAAAAAAAAAAAAAAAAAAAAAAAAAAAAAAAAAAAAAAAAAAAAAAAAAAAACTCACGAAACAATCATGAAAATTAGGTTCTACAATCATAAACCATGGGTAGAGAAATACTATGATCCAACCCTACCCCATATTCAGTCCCAGAGGTTCGTTAATAAACCCACCTTATGAGTTCATGTGCACGGATGTGAACTATACGTAAAAGAGTATCATGAAGTTTAGGTCCCCAATCATAAGCGTGTGTGAAGTAGTACCCTACAAAAAAAAAAAAAAAAAAAAAAAATAGGGCTCACAAAAGAGTCATGATCATTAGGTCCCACCAGTCATAAATCTTAGATAGACAAGTATTATACATCAAACCTTACTAAAAAAATATCCAAATAACAGTCATAAATTTTAGGTCCCGCCGTCATTGAAACTTTTAAAACTCTAAAGTAATCACAGTCATAAATATTAAGTCCCATCGTCATTGAAACTTTTAAAACTCTTAAAGTAATCGCAGTCATAAATATTAGGTCCAACTCATAAACTTTTAAAACTCTAAAGTAATCACCGTCATAAATATTAAGTCTCACCGTCATTGAAATTTTTAAAACTTTAAAGTAATCACAGTCATAAATATTAAGTTCCACCGTCGTTAAAACTTTTAAAACTCTTAAAGTAATCACAGCCATAAATATTAGGTCCAACCCGTAAAAGTTTAAAGTAATCACAGTCATAAATATTAAGTCCCACGGTCATTGAAACTTTTAAAGCTCTAAAGTAATCACAGTCATAGATATTAGGTCCCACCGTAAATTTTTAAAACTCTAAAGTAATCACAGTCATAAATATTAAGTCCCACTGTCATTGAAATTTTTAAAACTCTAAAGTAATCACAGTCGTAATCCCACCACTGTCATTGAAACTTTTAAAACTCTAAAGTAATCATGGTCATAAATATTAGGTCTCACCCGTCCTTAAAACTTTTAAAACTTTTAAAACTATAAAGGTCATAACACAGCTCTAACCCCAACTTCTCACAACCTTGTCAACATAAACAACAAAACTCTTCCAAATATCATCTTTTCAGATCAAAAAATCCGATCGCTTCACCATCTGGGGGGAACAAATATGGACAAACGCGACGAATTTCAACCCCTCACAATTCTGATCACAGGAGTGAGCAGAGGGTTGGGGCGAGCTCTAGCGCTATCATTGGCAAAGCGGGGCCACACTATCATTGGCTGCGCTCGTACTCCCAACGCCCTCCACTCTCTTCGAAAGGAACTCGCCGCACTCTCCCCTTCCTCTTTTCACACCCACTTACTCCAAATCACCGACGTGGTTGGTTTCCTTTTCCTTTACATTTGTTTCCATAAACCCACGTTTTATTTCACCTTCAAAATTGGACTCTTTTTGTAGGCCTCAAATGGTAGCGTTGAGGAGCTATTTAAGGCTGTCTTGGAAAGAGATCTTGTTCCTGATATCCTTGGTATTCCATGCTCTTCCATATCAAAGGGACTTTGATAATTCATTCCCATATTTAAGTAAAAATCTGTTCTTGTTTCAGTAAACAACGCCGGTGTGATTAATGAAAAGTCCAAGTTTTGGGAGATTCCTGAAGATGGGTTTGATTGTGTGATTGATACGAATGTAAAAGGGACAGCCAATGTTCTTCGGCATTTCATTCCTCTTATGATCCAAGGAGGAAAAGGAATTATTGTTAACTTCTATTCAATGTGGGGAAGAGATGGTGCTCCCATGGTAGGTACCCAAAATTTGTAGCTTTTTGAGAAGTAAAAATGGGTTTAAAGCCAAGTTTATGCTGATCCAAGTAGTTTTGTGAGCGAGTAGAACAAGTTATGAACTCATTCACTAACTTTAGGAGAATGGCTAGTGGCTTAGTAACACAAGTTAC